TAATCAGATAATTCGAGACAACCTTGAGTTCTACCATGCTGTAGCAAAAGATAATTAGGGTGCGGACCATTTTCATTTATATAGTGCTTTGTGAACACAAATTAGTTAGCATAAATCAGTTAAATGACGAAAAATTAGGTGTCTATTTACTTGTGACCACTCAGTGTATATACGTTTTTATTTCAAGAAATTGCGAGTTATAAGGTAAACCTTCAAGCATCAAACTTTGGTCACCGTTGCAGCAGGCAGTATTGGACCAATTAGATTAAGTATTACTCAAATGCGTGATATACGTACCGCAACGTAAGCCTTGAATAATTCACTGTCTTTGTTTCTTTCTTTCACATACTGCAGGCAGTTACTTTGGTCAGTACAATACTTGATGTATGGACGAAAAATCTGGTCAAACTGTCACAAAAATCAGGCGTTTTAGCAATACAATTTGTTGTAAATAAAGTTAGACTTAATCTAAAAAAGTTAATATATATATATATTCAACTATAACTGGCACTTCAAATGCTCAGTTATCAACTAATTCAGTGGAGGACTTTTAACTTTAATGCTTACATTTATTAGTTCTTGGTGGAAAAATTGAAATTTGAAATGAGAACTGTAATAGCTAGGGTTGTGGTGATCGGTTATCAGTCATTGTCATATTAAGTAGTTTATGCGATTAACTATAATTTTTTTAACCATCTAAAGATCCAATGTAGAGTAAATGCACAATGTACAACATCACTTGTGAATACATTGGAGAAACGAAAAGAATAATAAATGTTAGATTTTAGGAGCATAAAAGACGCACTGTAATATTGATCTAACTGCCTTAGCTTACCATGCCTGAGAAGAACATATATATTAAATTGGAATAATACTAAAATAATTTGATATGAGCCACACACAGGACAAAAAAACATTAATAGAAACTTCTACATCCAGCTAACTGATGACACATCAAGCCAGCGTAGTATAGAAGTAAGTAAAACTTGGATACCCTTCTTTAGAGCATTTCAATAAAGTAGTTGATTCAAATCTAATAAAAACACCAAACAAATGGACATCGCATTAGCATTTCTATCAAGACGACCCAATATCGAATCCCCACCGCTACAGAAACGGGCCTTTTCTGGACCACTATGAAACGTAGGATAAAAATTGCTTAGTATATAGTTAATAATTAGACTTAGATGATTGTATAGGTTCCTAATAACGACAACGTTTATCACTTATTTCTAATTTCTTTTCTTTAAAGCGCATCTATTGTGCAAGTTTAAAAAGTCAGCATATACCCTAACTGGTAAACCTATTTTCGGCTTGATATTTTTTTTTAGCCACAACCAAACAAAAGAACGATGAAATTAAAGGATATTTTGATGAGTTTTCCAGAGCATTCTTGTTGGTAAGTGCTAAACAGCATTCATAATTAATTTGATAGAATCCATTAAGATTTCTTATAATAAAAGTTTTTATCGTCTAAAATATATTTGAAATTTCAAAAAAAAACTAACTTTATTCTGTCGAAAACAGTCAGAAAACAAACCAGAAATATTTATTCTGATTTTACTCTAACCTAGAAATAAACAAATGTACAAACAATCATCTTGTTGTTCTACTAAAACTAAACATATTTTGTTTAAACACAATATTATTATTTCGTTTTCTTTATTGCCCCCCCCCCGCCAGCTGTGGATCAGCAGTGAGTCAATGAGATAGCCCATTATGTAGCTTTGTGCTTTATAAGAAACAAACAAACAAACTATTTTCTTTATTAACTACCCCCATTTTCCCTTTACTCCTACACCACAACGTGAAATATAGTTTTCACTTATCTCGTGAATTAATGTGGTCACATAAAGAATTAACAAAGAGTATTATATTAGAGAAACAAGAAGTACAGGGTGAATATTAAGAAAATACCACAATTAAAATTATTATATCTAAAAAACTATTTGTCCCGAGGGAACATAATCGCCAGAAGCACATTGAGGATTGTAAGGGTTATACAAAAAGTTCGGACATAGTACGCGACCTCTCAAACCCACATTGTACTGTGTATATATATCACTTTCCTTGCATTACTTTAACTTGATTATTTTTCTCTCAGTTTAAACAGGTTATTTGAATACAATGCGTTTCAACGTTCGGAATCGTACGTCTGTTACTGGACTGTGCTCTCAAAATAACTGGACATAACTTGGGACAAAAGACAGATTCGGAAAGAAAATAGACGTTCAGTTCCTTATAAGTGCCCTAATATGTTAGAAAATTGATTTTCTAGTTGAAGCAAATGGAATCATAGATGACGTTTCTCCTGAACGGTCATCTGTAAATTTGTGGAACTAGTGTTAAACGTTGTTCAGATTATCGAAGACCAATCTGAAAAGCATCCCATTCGGACGGCAAGTAAGAGAGCTACTGCTCAAGAACTAGATTTCTCACCAGCTGCAGTATGGATAATAATGATAATAAAAATACTACAGCTCAAAGCTTGGGAATTTAGACGACCGTGTGCTGTTAAAAATGGTGACCCATCTTTGAGACTTGACTTTGCACTTTTGGTTCTGGCCAGATCTATGATCAGCGAAACGTAAGAATCGTATAGAAATGATAGTTTCATATTAATGGAATTCTCATTCCAAGTTATGCTGTAACGTACACCACCCGCAAGCATTACACCATTCACCTGCTGGTGATCCTGATGTTACTGTATGATGTGGCTTCACCAATAGTTTGACATCGATCCTTATCTCTTTGAAGTTATTGATGAAACCAGCCATGTCCAAACTGTTTCTGTAAATGGAGTCCGTTATGGGGAAATGTTTGAAGGCCACGTTATTTGACGCCTGGAGGAGCAAAGCATTATGTACACCACGCTCCTACAAGACGGGGCAATCCCTCATATCTGTCGTACCGTGAACAGACACTTTCACGGAAGACAGAATCTTAAGTTGTTTGTTCAGGCAGAAAGATTTGAAGATCTGCAAACTTTACAATTTTCAAAAGTATTCTTCAACTGACTGAACATCTGGTAAACATTTAATCATTATGCTACTGGCTAGGTTTTTAAATAACTCTTGTCATCGGGTAAATTTAAATATTCAACGAAACCCACAATAGAAAATGAGCTTTTAATAAAATCACACAGTTTAATACTAGTCATATATGTTAAGCGTGGTTACTGGACCTACATATCTTACCAGTTTTTGGTATGGTTGTAAACATTCTAAAAGCACTATCGTTTTAAAGATATGAAAGGATATTAAAATATTCTTACCTTAATTTAGAAAAACAAAACAAGGAATGACAACAAGCTGATCATACGACAATTAATTAATATCTAATGATATCTTGGAATATGTAATGAGATTATCTATTGTTTATATCGGGTGCGATTCCTTCTGTAGCCGAGAATAGTTTAATAGCCCTATTGGTTTGGCAAGAAACACTAAACACAATTCAAGTTATATTATTTTAATCCATTTTGGACTTCATTAAGATATTTTAATGCAACTTTCTTAAATTCTCATGTAGTATTCTTCTATACAGAGGAAAAAATGTGTCCTCAGATTCTCATATTGCCTTTATCTCCTCAGTAAAAAAAACTTTTTCCACTACTTAACTCCTCATACAATCTTTTTATCCCCAGAGTAAAAAAAGGGAGCTCCTTTTAAGACTTCCATATGGATTTTTTTCTGCCCCGTTAAAAAACATAACCCCCTTCTTAAATTTGTACATGGGACTTTAAGAACCAAAAGCCTGCTACTAGTCTGGATTAAATCACACAACCAATTAAAGGACACCAAGTTGCTATAGACATGTAAATGATTTCTTTACTGATACACATGTTCAACTATCTAAGCTTAGAACACTGGCTTTACTTTAGATCCTTTTTTTTTGTGTCATTTTTCACCCCCAGTTCACAGGAAGAAAAGTTTGAGAAAACGTGGAAGACTGGTGCCAAGTATTTAGTTGTTTTATATGGTGTGAGTCTTATGACATGTGAAGGTAATCTGTTTCTGGTTTTCATGTCAAGAAAATACTGCCACACCTGATTTTGTCAGCTGTTAAAGACAAGCAAACACTCTGCCACAGTTCTGTACATTTTTAGTAGATATAAATGTTGCTAATTTTAGGTATAAATATCACGTCGCAAGAAATTATTTCTGACTGCTAAGGCAGGGCGTAGGGATACACTACATTCGTACATAATGCAGTGATTTTCGAAAATTTATGTATTATTTCAATTTCATTAGTGATATAAAGTTTTAACCTGTAAGAACCCTTGTCTCATCAAGAGTGGCTGAAGCGGCTGTTTAATGACTCGGGAAGTGTTCAACATTGGTAAAAGATGGTTTTCCCAGAACCGATGGTTCGCCGAGTACACTTCTATGATGTTACTAAACAATCTCTCAGGTTCAATCTGAAAAAAGAAAAAAAAAACAATTGTTACGGAACAATGTCCTCGTATGCAACTACAAGACGGACTCACCATTTCAGTACTGCGTAATATCATTAGATGGAGTCAACATTTGATTACCGTGCAGGAGTATCACACAGACTCGAAATTCAACCACTGTAAAGGATCCTTACACAGAATTAACATTCGATAACTGCGCAGGAGCATGAGACAAATTCAACGTTCCACCTGCGCAGGAGTATCGGAGTTAACACTCGGCCACTGCACAAGAGTATCACACAGACTCAACACTCAATCCTGTGCAGGAGTATCACACAGACTCAACACTCGGTCACTGAGCAGAAATACCACTCAGACAGAGCAAACACTCGGCCAATGCGCAGGAGTATCAGACAAAGTTAACATTCGGTCACTACGCAGGAGTATCACACAGATTCAACACTCGGTCATTGAGCAGAAATACCACTCAGACAGAGCAAACACTCGGCCAAAGCGCAGGAGTATCAGACAAAGTTAACATTCGGTCACTACGCAGGAGTATCACACAGATTCAACACTCGGTCACTGAGCAGAAATACCACTCAGACAGAGCAAACACTCGGCCAAAGCGCAGGAGTATCAGACAAAGTTAACATTCGGTCACTACGCAGAAGCACCCTTTATGACATAACGCTTTAAATTTGAATAAAAATAACATAAACTTAGCCTACATTACCTTTTGGGGGGGATCGTACGACTTTAATTCTTACTTTCATCTATTAGCTTTCTCCTAAAACGTTAGCTCCAAAACCTTATATGCATCAAAAACATGAGTATATGATAACATATGAGCAGTTGGCCTGCTTTATCGAAGCTGTCTTAGTAAACAAAATGTTTAGAATTTTTATCACTGTGTTCTATTAGTTTGACTTTCAGTTTGAAATAATTTAGTTCATTTGGATGTACGACTGTAAACAACAAATACAAATACAAAATAATCAGTTCATAAAGTCTTACCTCGTTTAACACTCCTTCAGACTGTAAGTTACAAAGACAAGCTAGAAAAAGCTGCAACATAAAAAAATATTGGTAAGATCATCCAACTAAACTGTACATTAACAGCAAGATCACGTTAGTAACACCCATTATTAGTATCAAATATTTCAAATGGAACTGTTATGTTGCTTTAAATAGTAGCATACAATAAACATTCTTACACAACAACAACAACAACAATTTATAACGCTGAAATGATTTGTGCCTGATACGATCACCAAATTGTGCTATAATTACTAGGTTCTAATTAGTTCGTATCTTATATTTTGGATGTTAACCTGCTGCCATCTCTAGGAAAATCCTGAGAAGGACTGTATGCGGGGCAAGAGCTGCGTTCGATTTCGAGTTTTTTTAGAAAAGCCAGAGTGCTATTCGCCCAACTCTACGTAGATATAACATGGAACGATTAACAAAAGTGGCCAAAATGTTGTCACATATAAACTTTTCCTGATTGAAAAACCTCTTTTTTGTTTTTGGTGATCGAAGTATAGAACACACAAAGGTATATATATATATATATATACATTCTTTTGACATGTTATATATATATACTAACTAAAACTCTGAGATTGTTTGTCTGTAATTAAATACTGCAAAAACGGCACACAATAGCGCCATATTTGTAATAAAATGAGAATAGAAACAGAATGAAACAAGTTTCGTTAAAATCGGGCCACGGGTTACCGAGTTAGTGCCGTTTTTCGGGTCACTTTTATGAAAATTTCTAGCATGAGTAATTTTACATCACACTACCGTTCGCGCTCTTTACGAAACTTCTTACTTCAAATCTATTTCCCTGTCAATATTCCCATCTTCATGAAAAAGCGTAAGATGACAAAAACAATAATGTGCCTTGGTTATGGTAGGTAATTCGAAGAAAAAATAAAGTGTTATTGTTTCTTATTTGTAGAAGGTTTAAGAGGAAAGACCACAACATAATGAACTAATTCATCACAATACCTAAAAACTCTAATTTCACTTTTTCCTTTTACTCCCGATCAACAATCAAATATCATTTCTTGAATTATGAATAACACGAATGGATTGAAATATTTAATTAAATTATCTCAAAATAAACCTTCATTTCGGTTCAATGTTGAAATTAGCTTGAATTCTTCATAACCTCTGAATAGTGGGTGACACAAACAAATATTCAAACAAGGAGTTTTCGACAAAATCTCAACTGATGAAATTAGATGGCGCTGTTACCGCAAACTTACATCTGTGATGACTTTCAACCTTCTAATATAAAATACTTCAGTATGGAGAAGTTCCCAAATAGCGTCTTGTTGGTTCTTCATTCTCTTACTAAGAGCCTATAAACAAAAACATGCACTCGTTTTAGAGCACTGTAATTATTCCGTAAAAAAACAACACTATTAATAAAGAAAATACGAAAACATCATCTGTAGTGCACTGTAAAAAGCACTAAAATATCCTCTTCCTAGTATAGGATAATTACTTTTGGAAAATATCTTAGCTTATGGGTAGTAAACTCTCGGCCACAAAAGTAAAAGATAGGCCTGGAAAACTGTTTTTACGCACCTCTGATTTGAAATACGAAACGAAAAAATTAAGAGGAAAGTGACAAGCAAAAGTCTACAGCTGACGTGATTTTTAATCACAATGTTAATATGTCTGGTTTTCAGTGCTTCGCTAGTTTTCAGCGTTTAATACCGTAACATTACATATCTTTATTCTTCTTTAAAATTCTACCAACTTTTAGCTTCCAAAAATCTGATGTAATCAATATCTAGGTGTAAATGTTACAAAAAGTATGTCCTACTTTTTTTATTGTGAGTTTTCTATCTTTGAAAACATGATAGTCATTAGTTGAGAATTTCAATTATATGTAAATCATCAAAAATATAATTGTTTTATCTCAAGACTCTCCGAATTAACAACTTTGGTTATGGCTCATTCTCTAACTTTCTAATACTGCCAGTCACTGGTATAATGATTAGTGTACTAGGTTTTCTTCTGTCCGCCAGTTACCATGTCTAACAATCAAAAATATTTTCGGGGTTGGGAAAAGTAGGTTTTACAATGACTACGGGATTTAGTACGTTACATTAAAGCAATTTTAATAAGGCAAATCAGCAAGTTATGTGACAACCACAGCTGATACAAAATCGCGATGTAATGGCATGTATCAGAACTATATTTGGACATTGCTTGACGTTTTGTAGGTAATGTGTGATGTCATCAAAACATGATCGCTTTAGGGAATGGTATTTAATATTGGTATTTAATGTTTAATGGTATTTGTTCCGACGCAGAACATTCATACACTTAGTCGTATCATAACGATATTGTCACATACAGGATTTAGAATTTCCAACATGGGAATATTTCTTGCACTTAATTACATTAGAAAACAAAGGAATATCAGAACAATCCAGAAATAGACTTGCCCCTCAATCAGCGTTCAAATCGTAACGGAAAGAACCTGAACGACATTCCGGCACTTTTGGAACCTTTTCGCCAATAATTAAAAATCCTTTTGGAGTAAACTATATTCGAATATGATCACATACATGTGAACATGTATCAAATAATATCGCCGGCACGACATTGGGCCTGGTATGTCCTGATGGTTAGGGTACTCGGCTCGCAATCTGCGAGTCGCGGGTTCGAATCCCATCACTGAACATGCTCGCACTTTCAACCTTGGGAGCGTTATGAAGTGACAGTCAATCCCACTTTTAGTTGGTAAAGTGTAGCCCAAGAGTTGGTGGTGGATGGTATTGATTAGCTGTCTTTCTTCTTCTCTATCCCTTCTAAAATAGTCCACTAGTAGCTTTGTGCGAAGTTCAACAAACAAACAGTCGGGGCGTCACCTCGTTCTGGGATGTTACGACAGTAAATTTGGGCTGAATTAGTATAAAATGGAATGAAACAATAGGTATTTTTGTCAATTTGTTGTGAGTGTGTGCAAACATATTTTATAAATGTGACTGAATTTACAATTCACTTTAGTCTACAAAAACCGGATGTGAGCGGGGCAAATAACTAAGTAAACAGTCCTATTGGTTATAGAAAGTACAGGGACGAGTGACGTGTTTTGGATATGACAATGTCATGACGAAGCCTTTACAGTGTAAATTATGCAACGGGCCTATCGTCAAATGCATGGTTGTCAGATAGAGCCTGACCGGACGTATATAACGTACACTGACCTCAGAATTTTCCACAAAATCACTCCAATGATCTTCTAGTTTATAAAGGTCATCATGAGGAGTGTCAAAGGTCAATAACCCGGACTGCGGTGGGATACCGTTAACGCTATAGTGATTTAGTAGTTCTGTAAGAGTTTCCATTCGTTCCTTTTCCTGGTGCGTAAACAAAAAAATATGTATTAAATAACATGAAAACAGATATACATTGTAATTATGTACATATAAACAGTTGATACCGTTGTACACTTATTAAATATGAGGGAATAAAAAAAGCACTGCTAAAAGCTGTTACCATTTTAGCACAATTAAAAATAAATGTTTGTTCCAACAAAATCGAATACTTTAATAACAAATATAAATGAAAAAAATAAATTATTTAACCATTTTATCATTTTCTCCTCTTCTTTTTTTTTGCACTGTGTCACAACGTTGTTCTAAGGATCTCTAGTATCATTACATCAATCCAAATATCCCTATTTTCATTACATCTATCTACAGATCTTTAGTATCATTACACCAATTCAAATATCTCTAGTATCATTAAATCAATCTATAAATCTAGTATCATTACATCAATATATAAATCTCTAGTATAATTACATCAATCTATAAATCTCTTGTATCATTACATTAATCTCCAGATCTCCAGTATAATTACATCAATCTATAGATCTCTAACATCATTACATCAATCTACAGATATCTAACATCATTACATCAATCTACAGATCTCTAGTATCATTACATCAACCTACAGATCTCTAGTATCATTACATCAATCTATAGATCGCTATTATCATTACGTCAATCTACAGATCTGTAATATCATTACATCAATCTATAGATCTCTAACATCATTACATCAATCTATAGATCGCTAACATCATTACGTCAATCTACAGATCTCTAATATCATTACATCAATCTACAGATCTCTAGTATCATTACATCAATCTAGGGATCTCTAGTAGCCTTACATCAATCTAGGGATTTCTAGTATTACTACATCATTTACAGGTTTCTGAAAGTATTTGAATGTAATATCCTATTTTTACACTGGTGATTTTTATTCCTCGTTATGAGAACACTGCTGATTTTATATGAACTAAATAATTTCTATTTTGTCTGTCTTTTAGACGTAAGCTATCTTACGCAAGTAAACATTCTTAAAACAAAAACAAATAAGCAATTATAGTATCAACAATTTATATTAAATACCTTAAGTTAAGGAGTTATCATTTTTGAAAATAGTTTTATGCTTAGTATGGTATGTTGTACAATAGATGAGTAACTCATAGATAATAGCCTAGATAATACATAGAGTTATTATGCAGTCAAGAGATGACTACATAATACAAGTAAAATGAACGAAAAGTCATTTCACACTATTCCTGGCAGAGTTTAAAGACACAAATATCGAACAGAAACGTAATTAGTAATCAGTAATAGATATATGTATTTAAAATAATTACTATAGTTTGTATTTCTTTCTATTTCCTCCTCTATCTGTGGGTCGCGGGTTTGAGTCCCCGTCCCATCAAACATGCTCGCCTTTCAGGGGGGCTTTATAATGTGACGGTCAATCCTACTACTATTTGTTGGTACAAGAGTAGCCCAACAGTTGGCGGTGGGTGGTGATGACTAGCTGCCTTCCCTCTAGTCTTTCACTGCTAAATTATGGACTGCTAGCGCAGATAGCCCTCGTGTAGCTTTGCTCGAAATTCATAACAAACCAAACCAATCCTCCTCTATGTACTGAGTAGTTATTATTCATTTCATATATGCATTTGGTGTCAAATTTTGAATAAAAATGCTTAATGCGTATTTTTACATGTGAATTATCAGTTATAACAAGTTATAAAATACTATTTATCTATAAATTCCCCTATAGTGCCGATTCCTTTTCAGCTGTATAAATAAAAACAACCTCATGCCCAAAAACATAACTTACATATATCATGCCCATGAAATGAGGCTTATAGAACTAAAATAAAGATACGCCCCTGATAGATGGGGTAATTAAACCGAAGAGAAACCATACCCATGAAATGGGACTTATAGAACTAAAATAAAGATACGCCCCTGATAGATGGGGTAATTAAACTGGAGAGAAACTATACCCATGAAATGAGGCTTATAGAACTAAAATAAAGATGTCTCTGATAGATGGGGTAATTAAACTGGAGAGAAACCATACTCATGAAATGGGGCTTATAGAACTAAAATAAAGATACGTCCCTGATAGATGGGGTAATTAAACTGTAGAGAAACCATACTCATGAAATGGGGCTTATAGAACTAAAATAAAGATATGTCTCTGAAAGATGAGGTAATTAGACCGGAGAGAAACCATACCCATGAAATGGGGCTTATAGAACTAAAATAAAGATACATCCTTGAATAATGGGGTAATTAGACCAGGGAGAAATCTTACCCATGAAATTAGGCATATAGAACTTAAATAAAGATACTTCCCTGAAAGATGGGGTTATTAGTCTGGAGAATCATTTTAAAGGATCTACTTGGTTATAAACCGCTGATAATAGGGAAATAATCATTTCGAGGGAAAATCCGGAGTCGTAATGTTAAGATAATTACTAAAGTTCCTGGTGCGATCTTTGAACATCGATGGCAATACATAACTAGTAAAAGTTTTATAACGATATATTAAATTTATGTTTTTTAATAAACCTGTTAGAGTTTATATTAATATTTTTATAAAATAGATATTCGATACGTTTGTTCAACAATTAAATCGCCTGTTTAAAACCCATGTAGAAAAAATACTTGTGTCCCAGCTTTGGTTCTGACCAATTAGATTTGTTTATTAACAGGACGGTTTAGTAAAATGAAGCAACATTTCCTTATTAAAATAATATTATGTAATATATAACTTACACGAAAGATAGAAATTACAAAATGGTAAAATAACTTGCTTTTCTTTGCTGTAGTTTGTTTGTTGCAGAGCAAAGCCATATTGGGCTATCTACTGTGGCCACTGCGGGGAATCTAACTAGAAATTTTGGCGTTTTATGCTCATAGACTTACCCTGTCCCACTCGTGTGTGTTTTGGATATTCATGATGAGTTACACAAGAACTATCTGCTATAACTGACCCTAGCTACCCTAATGGAATAATGAGATTTGATCGTCACTCTTATAACTCGCCAAAATTCCCAAGTGTGTAGAGCGATTTTACGGCAATGTTAAAAATCAACTTAAAAAGTAATACAATGGAGATGGTGAAACAATAAAATAGCTTTCCACATCAGTGCAATGGTGATGATGGAAAATTAGAACATATCTTACAATTAATGTACAAACCACTCTAACAGAGACGACAGAAGATAAAGTAAAACACACACATTATAAATGCAATATCGACGATATAAAATAAAGCAAACAAATCGGTGTAATGAAAATGAAATGATGATAAAAATAAGCTTTACAAATAATATGGTGGAGAAAACATTTCGGGTGACAATCCCTCAGCGAATTTAAACATGGTAAACAAAAACGTTATATGATATGACTGATCGTTCAGCCTGGTAAGACGTGGTTTGATATCCTTACAGTACATAACGTTCCATTAAATAGCATTACCATCTATTAGGCTGAAGACAGGGTCAATTACATCAGCATATGGTGGCACAAAAATTTGTAGCATGTAGATATGAACAGAATAAGGCATAAAGGCTAACTATGTGAAATCTGTTTCTATCCATTTGTATACCGACACGGCTCATAGTTGCGGCTGCGAATATCTGAATCAACCTTTTTTTTCAAGCAGTTCTACACTGCTAACGACAGTTTCGGAAACGTGGAGTCACTTCGAAACAGGCTCCTTTCATTGGTCTAATTACTTTCCACGAGAATAAAACAAATTTTTTTCCTAGCCATGGTGTATAAACAATTTTGTGTACTGTGAGAGAATAGGCTGAGTAATCCACTGTTTGCATATTAGATCACATGATTAGGTTGATTTTCACAACAATAACAAATAATGGATTGCAAATATCCTATTTCATTCAATATCCATACACGACTAAGCGCTTCTAATAATAGTCGTCATGTTGTTTTCTTTTTAGATAATTTGTGCTTATGATAAAAAAATTTAATTCTTAACTTCCTCATGATACAAGTATTTGTTTGTTAATTATATCACGTCATAGCATCATTAAATATTAGAAATTCTGGTTTACCAAAAACTGAACATTCGGGGGAAAACTTACTTTACTCCCACTATAAGCAAAAATGTAAGTTTGAAATTGTTCGTAAAAAATCATAAATATATATATATACCTTCTTTCTCAAAATAATAAATAAATAAATAAATTAGCGTGCTTATATGTTTTATATCCAAATCGATAGGACTAGAAACACCTTTATGCCAATTTCCTAGACTGGTGACCCAAACTGGCTAATGAGGGCGCTTTTGACATAAACTACAAAATGGATCTGTTACACATATGTTCTGAACTTAAATTAGCAAAATTTAAATAATATTGATGAAAAATTATAAATCAAATGAATTACACATCGATAAAGTTTCCACCAGGGTGCGCTAGCGTCAGACGAAAAAGTAAACCTTTCTGTAAATAGGGTGGCTCTTTCTCAAACACTTCTTCATGTTTTCCAACCTACCGTTTTAGAGATATTCGAAAAAATCCCCGCTCTTCTAGTTAAAGCTGACCTAGCTTTGGAATTTTTTGTTGGTCCATCCTGTAAATTTAGGGCCATATCGTGTAGATCCTCTGTGGACAGCATGATAGCGCTCCTTCTGCTACTACGTTGACTCTGTAGAATCAGGATGTAAGCTTTAAAAAAACTCGGTGATATAGATACTCTCTAGAACAATAACACTTAACTGTAGATCCTTTAAAGGCAACATATCTCCTTAAAATCGTCACTAATGTACTCTTATACACTCCCCACCTATCGTAGCCATCATATGATCATGGACTATGACCATCTAAAATCATCACATAAAATAAGACATAAATTTACTTTTCCATCATCTTTCTTTAAGCCACGAGGTATTGAAGTGTATTTGTTGGTGTGTATGTGTAAATAAACTATGCCTACAACATCAAACATGAATCTACATAAGCTAATGATAAATATGAACATTATTATTTCAAATAGACTTACTAACATACAACAATTGGTATTTCCTAACTTAAAACAAAGGAAATCAACTCATTTTGTTGAGCTTGAGAATTTGAAAATAAAAATAATCAATTCATATTGTTGAACTCGAGAATTTTCTTTTGAAAAAAAGATAATCAATTCATATTGTCGAATTTGAGAATTTTAACAATTAAGATAATCAATTCATATTGTTGAATTAGAGAATTTTGAAAATAAAGAAAATCAATTCTTATTGTTGAATTTGAAAGTCTTAAAAATAAAGAAAATCAACTAGTATTGTTGAATCTGAGAATTTTCAAAATAAAGAAAATTAAATCATATTGTTGAATTTGAGAATTTTGAAAATAAAGAAAAGCAAATCATATTGTTGAATTTGAGAATTTTCAAAATAAAGAAAATCAAATCATATTGTTGAATTTGAAAGTCTTAAAAATAAAGAAAATCAACTAGTATTGTTGAATCTGAGAATTTTGAAAATTAAGAAAATCAACTAACATTGTTGAATTTGAGAATTTTCAAAATAAAGAAAATCGAATCATATTGTTGAATTTGAGAATTTTCAAAATAAAGAAAATCAAATCATATTGTTCAATTTGAGAATTTTGAAAATAAAGAAAATCAATTCATATTGTTGAACTTGAGAATTTTCTTTTGAAAAAAGATAATCAATTCATATTGTCGAATTTGAGAATTTTAACAATAAAGATAATCAATTCATATTGCTGAATTTGAGAATGTTAAAAATAAAAAATCAACTAACATTGTTGAATATGAGAATTTTGAAAGTAAATAAAATCAAATCATATTGTTAAATTTGAGAATTTTGAAAATAAAGAAAATCAATTCTTATTGTTGAATTTGAAAGTCTTAAAAATAAAGAAAATCAACTAGTATTGTTGAATCTGAGAATTCTGAAAATAAAGAAAATCAACTAACATTGTTGAATTGGAGAATTTTGAAAATAAAGAAAATCAATTCATACTGTTGAATTTGAGAATTTTGAAAATAAAGAAAATCAAATCATACTGTTGAATTTGAGAATTTTCAAAATAAAGAAAATCAAATCATATTGTTGAATTTGAGAATTTTAACACAAACGAAAATCAACTTATATCCTTGAGTTTGAGTTTCAAGCATATTTGATTTCATCATTAAATAAGTAATTAAACGGCATTAGAAATAGCTCTGGTACATTCCATCATATGTTAATGTATGTGTATCCTCTATTCACTTCAGACTGGAGTCACAAATTAAGTTATAACCTTATTTTTATTTTAATCACTGACCAATCAGGAAATTGTGTAACGCCAGTCCATACAGAGCAATCTTTATAAATCAAAAACACTTTATTTGCAACGTTTTATGAATGAAATATTTGACGAATAATCACAGACTCTCTCCCCCTCTATATGTATGTATATAACTAACTAAGAAAGAAATTGATATCCTATATAACTGTTTTTCACAAGATTTATTGGTGTGATTAATTTTGGGAGTAGCTATAGCGGTACCTATATATATAAGAAACTTTCAATTGCTTGTATCATATGTTAGCTAGTGCGTATGCCTTATGAAAAATGTTAGACTGTCATGTTGATTCATATTGTAAGACTATATATTTCTAGCTATGGTGCCCTCTGTTGGTGTACTTAAAACCTTTTTTATCTGCATAGGATATACTTTAAAAAATATATATAAGGTGTTAGTATTTTGTATAAAATGGTTTTCTCGTCTCATATTTGTTATTAAAACCTGTCGTTTATATATCGCTCTGATATACACTTTTGTAACTGGATTAGTTGATTATTAAAATAAAAAAAAGCCCCAAAGCTACATAATACATGATGTTCTCTGCTTTCGTTTATATACTACTCTGACGTTTTATAACTGTGTTACTTGATTAAAAAACTACCTTGAAGGTGCTTAAAATATGACGTGCTTTGCTTGTCGTTGATATATCACTCTGATATACACTTTTTGTAACTGGGTTAGTGGATTATAAGAAGAAAAAGTACCCCAAAGTTGCCTAAAGTTATTCACGATTTAGAAATATATATATATGTACATTTCTACGATTTATTTATGTTTGAGACGTTTGGTTTCTGAACCGAATTAGTTAACTATTATTGTAAATTGATCCGTTAACTTGAGAGGTGCAGTACCAAGAACGATTCTTTTATCAATCACCCAGTCCAACTTATATTTCCTAACATGGAAAGTGTTTTCCAGTGAGCACTGATGAAAAATTTAACGACTTAACTTACTTGATTCGCTTTATCACTTTCCTTAATAACTAAGCACGTTTCTCCGAGATTGGCCACGTAGTTCATGATTGATAGTTTGACTTTATACGCTGTGTTGTACAATCAAATCGCCTAATGTCTGAAGTCAATTATTCTCTCTCTTATTCAGGCCTAATGCTTGAGGACAATTCGGTGAATGTTTTTTTTTAATCATTTTGAATATCATTTTTTCATATACTGATGCCTAATTTCTAAAAAAACAAGAGTTTGACATCACAGTTTAAATAATCAAGTTTTGTGAAACTTTTAGAAGTAACTGTGGAGATAGAATTTTATATTTTGTTTCTTTACGGTGATTTCAAATCCATACAAGCACTTTTTTTTAATAAGACTCCATTTTTATAACTCCTGATAAGTTATTATTATTCTATAAAAAAATTCTCGGATCAGCAGTACGCTGCAGAGTTATAACGATAGAATTAGGAATTCAATCCCCACAGCGTACATAGCTCAAATAGCGCAGTGTGTAGCTTTTCTCTGAAACAAACCAAAATAAACAATTTTTTGCATCAGTGCATAATTTTTACATAAGTATGGCCATCTTTCAAACCGGTGACGTAGTAAAAATTGTGTGGCACAGTGTTTGTTGCTTAAAAATAACTGAAGCTTTGGGTAAAAACTTCGACAACATAGACGCGAAATTCATTTTGCTAATTTATAACTCCCTGTAAAGTTTAAAAACAAAATACTTTCAAATCTGGAGTGTAAACTTGCTTCTCACCAACTTCAGTTACTCGTACTGAATACCTTTGTTGTATGTTTTCACTATTGCTATTAAGAATTTATTATACCACTGTGTTTCGACTGAAATATAATTTTTACACATACAAATATATATATATATATACATTAACAAAAATATTTGATAGCTTACCGAAATCTTACGTGACTTCTCCTCCCTACTTCCAGTACTACCAACACTGCTAGTTCTACTGGCTGGAGGACGATTAGTTGAATTTCCAGCTACACCTTCTGTTGTGTCTTTTACTAAATTATTATCTCTATTAGGTCAAAATTCAAACCAACATATACCAGTTCACATACTTTAGTATTTTATATAACTCTTTGAATTATAACAAACAAGAAAATATGTTTCTGTTCCGACATCTATAATATATAAAACAATATTTTTTGTTCCTAATCTTAAGATATTTATCTTAAGTCGTAACAATGTTTTATAGATTCAGCACACCTGACTCTCGCTGTTATATAAGTTTAACATTAGAAAGAACAGTAAAGATAACAGCATTTCCTCACTATGGGTCTTAATACCGTGACCAACAAAACGTGTGTGCTGGTTAAGCTAATACCGTCTTCTGCAAACTGTTATGCATTAGAATGACTCGTATGTGAAATAGTTCGATGCTGTGTTAACAAGCCACGTGAGAGAAAGAACGACTTTTGAGACTCATAAGCTTAGCTGTTCCACACCATAAACTTACGTTTACACGCATATTTGTTATCTTAAAACAGTAAATTTTGGCAATAAAGTTAGAAAATAAAAACGACCTTTACTCTCCAGATAATATAAAAATTTTTATTTCAGCTAATGTTTCAGCATTGTGGTTTCATCAGGGCTAGTAGTACAAGAACTGTACTAATGATAGTAATAAATTATGCTTTCATGGAAAGAGTCCAGTCAGCAGACGGAAAAGAAAAACTTCAAAATAAAGTCTATACGAAAAATAAAATAAAGAGGCAATGGTAATTTTACATAAATTATAAATAATTTGTACATGTCAACGCAGAAAGAAAAAAAAAGGTACAAGATGCACACGACAACATATGAAACCGTAATCCATAAGATGCCACTTCATGCACAACGCAACCGATAAGACGGTACGACAAGCATAAGAAAATATAACGTGTACATCCCAACTTGAGATGTGACGCAGCGTCCTCATAACGTTCCTGCACGTTATCTAACGTTTTAAAGAGATTTGAATAATTAACACTGACTTACCGTTAAAATATCTTACATAAAAATACAATAAATAAATTAAAAAGTTTGAATTTAAGATATTAAGTGACATATACAGTCACGCGCCTGTTGGCAGTTTATTTTCTATCAATCTAAACATCTTGTTATTTATCATAGTCACTATGCTTTTCCTTTTCGCCTGGATCTTGAAAATGATGAGTTACAGTTTATCTTAATGGTATGATCGATAGATGTTGTATTTCTAGATTTTCTGTAGGCAGACCTGCTCTTACCTTCTCTAGTTACAGTTTCATACTAGTTTCATCTTCCCTCTGGGATAAATCGTAAGTTACGGCTCATAGAAT